CTCTATCTCTCACTACAAAGTACCTACACACAATACACATACTTGTTTTATTAGTTAAGATGAATCTATTTTCATATGAACATACATACACATATATATATATATACTTTATGATTTAGTGCGGTTGCAACTGATCTTTCGCCGCCTCTCTCTCCCTCTCTTTTTCTCTCTCTCTCTCTCTCATTCGCTTCTTGTATGAGATGTAAGAAAAGAGAGAAAAAGAGAAGGTGTCGGACAATAATATAGAAACTGATAGTTATGAAAAATATTAACACATTGTTTCAATGACATCATCATTGGTGTTTTTTATTTTCAAGAGATAGAAAGGCTACGCACTTAAATTGCTTATAGATTTTTTTTTTTCAATAATATCAAACATATTGAACATATTGTTTAATCTTTTATCGTAATCAACTTTTTTTTAATTCAAAATAATAACATCAGTGACAATTGTCGTTTTACTATCGTGTTCGCAACTCTATCCAGCTCAACATATTAGTTTTGTAACCAAAAAAAAAGAAAAAACAAAAAAATTTATTATAATATGTTCAAACACATGTGCATGTGCATGTCGAGACATGTATAAATCGATGAATGAATAAATTGTTGAATGCGTAGGAAAGAGAATATTAAAGAAAAGTTTATTATTATTATTTTTTTATTCAATTCTGCATATTATTATGAACTTGTTTATTCGTATTGCTAGATTATTAGTGTAGAAACAAAAAAAAATATACATGGATTGTTTATGTTGTCAAAGTTGTTCGCAGTCTCAAAATAATAAATATTATCCAAAAGAAAAACGGCCAATATCAAGAAATAGTAAACGACAAAATTATTATGTACAACAGCAACAACAAATCACTGATAAAAGTAAGTGTATATTCTATTTTTAAAATGAAATATTAATAATGATGATAATAATATATGATAGTCAACTTATTTTGTTGATCATCTCTCGTCTGGGATCAAAACATCTTAGAAATCTAATGACTGAAGATTTAAGAAACATTAGCTCATTGGCTTTCTTGTGTACTTCTTTACAAACTCAACATTTATTGCTAGGTCTACAATGGTCATTTGACGGTTGGCCTTTTTATTAGAAATCATTAAAGATATAAATCAACTCAACATTTTTTATACCGTTTGAGAAGATAAAGAGAAAATCATTTGTTCATTGAACAGGTTTTTCTCGAATTAATATATTGTATTTAAACATTATTTTAAACTCTAGTCGATTACGTTTATTGTGTATGTGTATTAGACCTCTGCTCATAATCATCAATGTTTTTGTTGTTTATTCTTGCTTACTAATCAATGTTATTTGTAGGAGGATTATATAAACAGACTGTCTTTTTCTTTACTTTAGACCTCTCCTCTAAGGGTAGACTTACTGAAAAAATTTGAAAACAGTAAATTACGCAGATTAGTAAAGTATTTATAAGGACATGTACTTTCATTGATAATTTAGTTGTAACGATACTTTATTCTCTATTTCATATCATATGTGTGTTTAAGAGTATTTATTCATTCTTTTTGTTCATAGCTTGAACAATATCATTGTTCGTACATTGTCTTGTTACATAAATGTGAACAATTTTTATTTTCGGTAATTGAGCTAAAATCTACATCCATTAATAGATTATATATAATATGAATACTTCAACATTTTCATTTATTTTTGTATAGATTTTTTTCAACATCTCTTTGAGATATACAGGGTGGCCCAAAAGTGGCTTTACCGAAGAAAAATTTAAATATCTGTGCCACCTTTGGACCAAATGAACTGATTTTTTTTTTACCGCTGATAGAGGAGTGTTCATAGGTCATATCCTTAAGAAAAACGTTTAAAAGGACTGCTTTGAAGTATTACCGTTGACTTCAATAAAAACTGCAACCTTAAACGAGTTAGGAAAAACATTATTGCAGTTTTTTCAATAAATCCTAGCTGTTTATAGTTGTTTATAGAAACTTTCAGGGTACACTGAGTAACAAGACATGCATCTATGGTATAAATTTGAGACCCAACGATAATAGTTTGAAGAATTAAACGAAAAAATGACATATATCGTTTATTTTTTTGTTAGGAAAATAAAAACGTTTTTTTCTTACTCATCATAGATTAGTTTTTTTTATTGAAGTCAAGAGTATACTTCAAAGAAGTATTTTTAAACGTTTTTCTTATGGATATGACCTATGAACACTCCTCTACAATGAACTGATATTTTTACTCCAGCGGTAAAAATATCAGTTCATTTAGTCCAAAGATGACGCAAATATTCAAATTTTTCTTCAGTAAAGTCACTTTTGAGCCACCCTGTATATATGTTTCGATATAAAAACCTGTATTTATTCTTAAACCAAGCTAAAAAGTGATTTTAAAATAAATCTTTCTCAATGATTATATTCATACATTAGCTGCGTGATAGTTAACCATAAAAGATATCTAATATTAAAATTGATTTTAGCTTCGTCAATGTGATACCTGCTATGCGCTAATTCCTGATTAACTGAAGGGGTACATCGATAGAACACGAGAATTTGATTGTTGATTTTTATCAGAAAGTTTTCTCGGATGATAAACCACATTCTCATAGAACGACAGTTTTTCAAAAGTGATTTAGTATCTTTCCGTCGTGTAATAAGAAAGCTAATTTTGAATGAGATATATTAATAACATATGGTTGTAGTTTAGTTGAGACGAAACTCTGTTCTTATTGATCTGTTCATATAATCCAACGTATACCATTACGATAATACTTTAGTTAATAAACGAATGAACTTTGGTGAGGGTGAAATTTATGCGTTTTTTGATCATAAATTTATCATATTACAAAATGATGGACTTTCTCCTTTTATTAAGTAATAGCAAATAACGGCAATGTTTATCCATAAACAGACAATAATTATACAGTGAAGACAGTTATAGTTTTTGTGTGTAATTTCAAACAGATGAATGAACAAGATAGAAAAACTGATCATATAGCTATAATAACTAATTATACTCAACTCAAGAGAGAACTATCATCATATTTCATTGCTGTTGTTCTTATGAAAAGAATACACTAGAAATGAGATATTTCAAAATTTTATTTGTTGAAACAGTTACAAATTGAGTTATATCAATTCGTAAAACGAGTTTATTTCATGAGCTTTTTTTCTCTTGGATCTTTGAGACGATTATTTATCTTAAGAGTAAATCACCATTCTAACGATAACATCAGTAAACTAGTTGTGTTTGCAATTTGATTAAATAAATATAATATAAAATTTTATAACATGTATTACTAATTAAGATTTAGAAGAGCTTAAAATGTCTTCCTGCACTTCCATAGTTAGTTTTGAATTTTTTGTAAAAATATGGTATAGGTCAATTTTTAAAATGGGAGTTTGTAACATAATTCGTTTTGAGAAAAAAAAAATGACAAATTTATAGACTATGAATTGTTCAATAGCCTTCTCTATATACATGACGATAATCGTCTATAGAAAATTGGTTTATATATCTATTCTTCTTTTACTACATTGCTGCTCTCTCTCCTTGCCCTTTTACTTTTAAATCCTCGATTGATATAACATAATGATTTATTTACAAAGATGAACATTGGCATTTTGAAAATAGTCTACGATTGATCAATTTCAAAATTTTGAACATGACTATTACCTGCTCGAAAAAAAATGAACATTTACAATTCAGATATTGTATGTGGTAATCTTTTACATAATTAAACATAAACATGAAATATTACAGAAAAAGAAAAACATTTATACCAAATTTTGTGTTTAAGACTTTATTGTTTCAAATACTATTAGCTTGTATGAATCTAGACATATGAACATTGATGATTATATATGATGAATTTCTTAGGCATCGTATCTGTGAAAACTGTTATCATATTTCTACAACTAATGTTCAATCATATGGAGATAATCAGCTGATATATTCACGATAAAATAAATTACAAACATATGTTTAGCCTTATTGTCTTGTATCGAGAGGATTAAGTGAACATCTTTCTAAAATTAAGAAAATTGATAAATTAGATAATACAATTGAAATATATACTCAAAAAATGCTTAATCTATACCATTAAATCTAAAAATACATTGTAGACTGTTAGAATATATTATCGTATTGTTTTCTAATCTTAATTTCACTAAGAAAACTAATGCAAAATATGAATTTGTACAAGTAAATCTTCGTATATATGTCTCTGTAATCAAATAACTAAATAGTTTTACGGGTATTACGAAATTGAAAAATAAACAATAATTTCCTACCACTCCCAGCATTTGACAGTTACATAGACTGTTTAGTTGACAATTATACATTTTTTCTAGATAATGATTCTCTGAGACATATACTTAAATTGTTGTAGTTCTCAGTTCTGTAAACTGAAAGAAAATATATAGTTTAATTTAAAAAATTAAAGTATTTGCAGTTAAAGACACATCCATTCGAATGATAAATATCGATTTCGATCATATTGTACAAAATACAAATGAGGTACATGTGTGAGTGTGCGGGGAAAAAAAATCGAAAAATAACGATAAGTATAGAAAGTGAACGAATGCCATATCTGAAAACAGACAATTGTACGAAAACAAAAGAAGATTTTTTTTTTTTTACACATTGATATCGTTCACTCATGTTATTTGAAGGTTATGTATTATGTTATTTTATTAATAGGATAATCCATTTGATCTAGACCATATTGTTCAAACTTTTCTCTATTCGTTCTCTCTTATTGCCTTTCCGTATATAATTATAACTTGCTTACTCTTCACTAAAAGATTATTATACATGTCTCAAACTTGTCATTGCATTGTTTCTGTAACATTTAATAGAGATTTATTTCGAGAATGTGATCTATATCCGCCTGTTTGCCTCTTTTTCTTCAAGCCATTTTTATTTCTTTTGAATTTGTCATATTGAACTTTAAATACAAGAGAAGAACAATAATGAATTTTTTAAGAAAGATACAGATTCTAGCGTAATAATGATTGATAATCATACAATTCAATTATATCAAAAAATTGCGCTCACATCACTTTGGGCTAATTACAAAGGTATGACATGTTGATTTTTCAATGATTAATAAACTTCAATTAGTAATAAACTTCAATTAGTAATACAAACAATTTTAAGAAAAAAAAGAGAAATATCCCCAATTTTCAGACAGTTGATTTAGTTCTAAATAGACATTTATTCTAATAAATGATGAGATTGATAAGGAAAAGCTTTAGGTCTAATATTAATGAAATAATTCTTTCTCTCTTTTTTTTTTAAGGTACAATTTCATGTAATAGTCTTAGTTGCTTAAATGATGCACAAAAACCATCACGATCACTAAAATCCATTCATCAACAAAATAGTAACAATAATAATAATAATGATAACAGTCATGATAATTCTTTAGCAAGAACGAATCAAAAATGGCAACAACAAATGAAGTTTTATGTGTACGATTTAAGTCGAGAAAAACCGATTAATCTTATTTATGATGTAGATGAAGAGAAATTATTATTGGTTAATAATGTATCGGAAAATATCTACAATTATGGAATAAGAAATGGTAAGTTAACAAATTACCTGCATACATGCAGTTTTATACTTTTCTACCATATATAAAACTTTATGAGGACTTCTTCAATAAATTTATCGTGATACACGACTGTTTTATCCACTAGTCACGATGTTTTCTATTATTTAACAAGATAGAAAGACTCACCATGATGACAAACTTGTTTATCCTAAGAACTATTTTTTTTGGGATATCCCTTTAGGCAGTTTAGTGGACATTTATCTCGATACTGTTTTTGTTCGGATAGAAAGTGATAGAAAAGATATCATAATAAATCGCGACTTGATATACATGTCGATGTCTAATTATCGCAGCAGACTATTGAATTAGCGAGCTGTATAACATATACTGATATAACGAATTCTACAGTTTCTCGAGATCTCAGCTGATTAAATGTTCTTTATTTCCCTTGATTCTAGAGAATCACATGGTATATTGAACCTCATAGCTCGTTTATAATTTGCTGCTGGCAGTCTTGTCTCCTCTTACAAAAGGAGAATAAGACAAAGAAGATTCCAAATGATGTTTTAGTCTTGAACGTTAAGTAAGCGTAAGAACACGATATAGTTAACATTTGATTAAATTCCATATTTTCAAATTATCCCTCAATTTTTTACTAGTTCGGATCTAACAGAATCGCCAAAATTGTTTGCTACAAAATTTCTTAATTATATTTCTATTGTAAATCATCGATGAGTTACCGTTTATCGCGATAAACATTAGAATTACCATATTAGAACCATAACATCTATTAAAAGCATGAATACAAGCTATATCGATACATAACTTATCATAGTGAAACCTCAAGCCATATTGGAATGATCGATTTGCCTCGATAGTTTTCTATAAATATTTTTAACGTTTTATCTCGATAGTATAATCAGCACAATAACTGATACGATCATGATGATAAGTTTTTTATTCCGGTAAAATGACGATAATGATCGTCGAAGTTTATCGAAATAAAACAAAAATCTCGATAAACATAACAGATGTCGCGTTAAAAAAATTTGAAATAATCGTTAATAGCATTTTATTGCGCTAATACGCGTAGATATTAGATGTATCGGGATATTTCTGTTATAACTGACGATTGTTTTATCGAAAATGATCAAGATGAATCATTTATTCTTGGTAATCATACTAATTCTTGTGATATTATTACATATCTCGATAAAATATGAAAGAGATAATGCTGACTCATCCCACGATAATATCTTATCATGATAAAGTCCGATAAATAGTCATTGCAATTAACACTAGAACGCCTGTAGCGGCCATTTTGACCGTTTTGTGATTTTTATCCTTAATAAAACAAACTGCATAGAATTTATTTAAAAATAAATTATGTCATACTTTTAATTTGTCCCACAAAAATTATTTTTTGCAAAATTTTTAATTCATTTTTTAATTCAGAACCATTTTTAAGTATAAAATTTTAAAAAAAAAACAGTAACGGTCAAAATGACCGCTTTGGGCGTTCTAGTGTTAATCAAGATACATGTATATAAAAACACTAGGCGAGTCATGATGATCTCTTCAATCGTATTTTATCGACAGATGTCAAATAAACTCTGGTGACTGTTTTATCGAGATGAATTTCCTCATTAACAAGATATTTCAAGATATTCAACACCTTATCACAATTAGTATCAACAGTTTTAAGCTAAAAGAGTCCTATTGGGATATACTATGAAAAGTAATATTCATTTTAAAAAATATATAACTAGTTTGAAATGGCGACGAATATGGCTTCAAATTAAATATTTTGTCGGATACTAGACCTAACATATGCTACCTTGTCTTTCTACAGGAATATATTTTCGGTGTATTTTTCAAATAAAATATAAGTTAAAATTGAGTTAAATGTTTAAGTTAAATCTGAAAAACTACTTTAAGGTTCTTTCTTCCGCTCTTTTTGCCTTAAGTTTTTCGATTTCATGTTTGTGAAATAGACTACGAAATATCTTAGCTTGAAATGAATTGATGTCAAAGTTTATTTTTACCTTAATCAAAGTTAAACTTGAGAGATTTTTTATAATTTACATCATAGATCTGAAAGTTCTTTTGCTCAGTTAACTAAAATTTTTCGAATTTAGTATTAACAAAGATATGTAATGAATATAATTTTCATCGGTCAATGATCAACTCTCGAGCTAAAAAGGCTTATATCTACTATATGAACAAGAGAAAAAGAACAAAAATTTTTTTCAATAAACTAATAGCAAAATAATACTTTATGCGACGTAGATATTTTTTCCTAATCACAAATATGTCATCATTTTTCATGTGTGATAAAAAAAATGTAAAGTACTTACTGTTTTTCTTTCTCATCCCATGGAGACTTCAAGCATAAAATATGTAAATGTAATCCTCTTCAATAAGCAATTTATTTATAGATTCTGTAGAAATCTATGTGATTATATGAGTTATACCGTGTCTAATACTACCCTAGTAAATATTTTAGACACTTCTTAAAATTACCTTAGTAAGATTTTGGTAAGATATTCTAAGACCTTATTTAAGATCTGAATAAGATTTGACGCTACTTTTATTCACCTTTTTGTTTTGCTCTCATGCATCCATATAAGTAAAAACGTAAACATAACTGAATTTTACGATATCTTTCTTCTTGCAGACTTTGCTCGTACTTGCTCTCTCTAAAGTATCCAACAAATTTTTAGAGAATGTACACTACAAGTCAAGATCTATGGATTAGCCACCCGAAAATATGAAATTTCTCTTCTTCAAATTTGTTCAGTTTGTATTTTGAACAGTGTCGGTCGACTGGATATTCAAAAATTCTTAGTGAATCGTCAATAAATATTATTAAAAAACATAATAATTCTTACCATTAAGATCCTAACAGAGTTTCACTCAATCTTGAAAAGTCTTAGACAAAATAATCTATATCTTGGTAAGATCCTACTAAGATCTTAGAAAAATATCTACGTATATATATCTACGTTTCTCACTAGAGTACTGCAACAGCTGAAGCTCCAAAAATGAATCAATAAATCGACGGAGCTGAAAATTCTTATATTTTCTTATTTGAACAACTGAATGTTTTTAGTTTGTGAAATAGTACAGGCTTCGTAAACATCCTCCTTTGTCAATTTTCATTGTGTTTTTAGTAAATTCATAGGCAAAAGGCTTGTTACGTTATATTTTTTCATTAAAAATTACATTTCATTACCATTGTTTTTGTCCAAAAGAATTGAATTTTACTATAATTGTGAGAATACAAGATGGTATCTGTAAATTTATTCAAAATTTAATTAAGTAGGAAAACAAGTTGTCGTTACTTTTTCTGGAATACAACAAATACTTTTACAATAAGCTACAGCTATTAAATGCAGAAGCTCCAATAATAATTATGTATTATTTAATAAAATCATGCTTTTAGTCATAAAAACCTAAACAATGAATAATAAATTAGAAAAAATGAAACTAACCACACTGAAGGTGTGCGAGTATGTTTTGTGGAAAAAAAGATAATCGATTTTTTATATATTTTCTTTTAGGATTTTTGAACGCGTATCATAAGTAAGGCCGCCACAACTGTTAAAGTTAACAAAAAAGTATCTTTGTATTTGAACATGAAAAGCTAAAAGTTGTCCTACTTGCTGATATAAACCCTACGAGTACGGACGTCAAAATCGTATCCCCTACTCCTACCTTTTGACTTTTGCTATTATAAACCCTTCTAATGTAAAAGTAATTAAAGTTACGTGTAAATGGCAAGATATATCTTTTTTTTTCTGTACTAAAGTTACAAAGCAGAACACGATATTATTTTTCGTTATATAACAGAAAAAGCCATGAAGCACAGTTATATAAAATATCGTTTCGATGTTAACATTTGTTTTTTGAGCGAAATAAAAAAAAGACCATCATTCTATGCCCATCTGTATCTGAGTTGTGTTCTGTTTCTTCTTATTTTACATGTCGTGTAAAGAAACGAACAAAACAGAACAGAACAAAAATATGAAAGTCGAATTTATATATGTATACAGTCGTTATTCTTTCAAGTGATGCGATGTTTTTTTTCTTCAGCATGCAAGTTTCTGTAATGTGTGTACATGATGTAGCTCGAACAAAAAAAAAAACGGAAAAAAATCAAGAGGAATATTGCCCTTATCAGAAGATGATTTTTCTATCTACTGCTGTTACTACAGAATAATGAACCTTTTTTCTTGTTAGACACATGAGAGATGAAGAACATGACTCTAATCTAGCACGCTTTCCACAAAACTAGCTACGATTTTCTTCAACAGGAAAAAGAAAAAAGAGAGAGCAAGAAAAAAAAAAAACCATTAAGGAAACTATAGTAGCCTATGAATACATAGAATCAAGAGAGAAAACAAGTTTTAGTATTTCACATGCAGTGCGGTCATTACATTTGTATGGTATAAACTAACATGTGGATTAATTTTACGTTGTGTTTTTATGTGTGTGTATATGTATGTCACTCTAAATAAAACATTTAAAGGGTGGCGGCAACTCCGTTCACATATTTTACTTATCTTTTTTTGTTTATTGTTAATGATAAGAAAAAGAAACGGGAAAAAGCGTTTCAAATATTATGAGAATTTATCGTATAAAAAGACAAAGTTTACTTATTTTTATTATTTTTATCATTATCCTTTATATAATATTCACAATGTTCAGTAGTAAAACGGAACCCACATTATCTCTTGATGATAAACGAAATTTATTAATACGTTTATATCATGAAAATGGTAATACAGAACAGAAATTATTTCGAATATTGAGTGGTTCACTGCATTATTTTCGTGTTTTACCACAATTATGGTCCGATCGAATACAAAAAATGAAAGCAGCTGGTTTGAATACCGTTGAAACGTATATTCCATGGAATTTACATGAACCGGAGAAAGGCCAATACAAATTTCAAGAAGGACTAGCAGATATTGTTACATTTTTGGAATTAATACGATCACATGAAATGTTTGCTATTATAAGACCATCAGGTATATTGTAAAAGCTTTAGTTGATTTTGTTTTAATACTTATACTGTTGTCGTCTTCTAGGGTTCATTTGTGCCGAATATGAATGGGGTGGACTTCCAAGTTGGTTATTAAAAGATAATAATATGCGTGTTCGCACCACATATTCTGGTTTTATGGCCGCATTAAAAAAATACTATGACGTTTTGTTACCAATACTAGCTGAATATCAATATAATCGTCAAGGTCAAGGTCCTATTATAGCATTTCAAATCGAAAACGAATACGGTTCATATGGAAGCGATAAGGAATATTTAGAACAAATCAAATCGATTTATGAAGCGAACGGTTTAACAGAATTATTTTTGACATCCGATGGAGCAGAGGTTCTTAAAAATGGTACCTTAACAGATGTGTGGGCGACAGTGAATTTTCAACGTTATATTCAAGCAAATTTGGATAAATTGAGACTATTTCGTCCAAATAAACATTTAATGATAACAGAATATTGGACTGGATGGTTTGACTATTGGGGTGGTACACATAATACTGGCTCCAGGGGTTATTACGATGCCGAACAATTGGAAAGTGATGTAGAAGAGATATTAAATTTAAAAGATGTTTCCATTAACTTTTACATGTTTCATGGTGGTACAAATTTCGGATTTACATCTGGTGGTCACCATTTTCCAAAATCACATTATAATCCATTGGTTACAAGTTATGATTATGATGCACCACTAAATGAATCAGGTGATCCTACTCCAAAATATTATGCTATTCGAAAAGTTATTAAAAATTTTTATGAAAAAAATCCATCATTACTTATTTTTAATACTAAACGTTCTGTGATATCGAATCCCGAATATTTTCTACCAACTGTACCATTATCATCGCAAAAAGCAAGCTATGGAACAATTGAAATAAAAGGGTATAAAACATTTTTAGAAATATTAGAAGATGATTTGTTGACAACAAAATCACACAGTCAAAATATGATAAATATGGAAAAATTATCGATTAATAATTTTTCTGGTCAATCGACCGGTTTTATTGTCTATCATACTGTTCTAAATAATTTACCAAAATCAAAAATACAACTAAATGTTACCTCCGTCGCTGATAATGCCATTGTATTAATCAATAATAATGTTATATTCAATTCAAAACATACTGATAATCAATTTTATATTGATTTACCATCAACCGATGAAGAACAATTATCACTACATATTCTTGTTGAAAATATGGGAAGAATTAATTTTGGGCCTACTATTGATAATTCAAGAAAAGGTATTAAAGGAGAAGTATTGTTAAATAATGATGTTAGTATTAAAAATTGGACCATTTATTCACTCGAATTTCGTAAAGGAATATCTGGTGTAACAAATTGGAATAAAGTTGATAAACTAAATAGACAATTGAATATGGGTCCGTGTTTATTTTTGGGCGCATTTTCAATTGAAGATGAGACACCATATGACACCTATTTATCGTTACCTCAGTTTACTAAAGGTGTTGCATTTGTCAATGGGTTTAATATTGGCCGTTACTGGAATATTGGTCCACAGAAAACGCTCTACATTCCTGCACAATTACTATTCAAAGGTTTTAATCAAATACAAGTATTTGAATTATATACTTTTGGTCAAAGTATTAAGCTTGTTGACAAACCAATATTAGATAATAATGATGATGACAATTCTTAAATGGTCAGATCAAATTGCATCTAGAATATCATTCTTTCTTCTTATTTATTTTTATTGAAAGCTTAGCAGTTATCGTAAAGTTAAACGAGTGTCACAAAACTATTTTAAATAGAATTACTTACACTCTAACTTAATATAACAGTGTTCTTTTATTTATACTCTCTCGACTTTTCTACATTTTGCTAAAAAAATCTGCGTTTGACAGAACTATTGAGCTAACGATCATTAATTTCATTGTGCGATATTCATAATACGTAAAATTCTCTAAGAATAGTTGTATGTCTCCTAGTCGTTGATTAAAATAATTAGCAATATGATTGTGCAAGATAAACACTATTGTACTTAACCAGTTTATTTGAAACTTTTTCATTGATAGTAGATCGTCTCCAAAACAGTTTTTGTTTGCATTTATCATCTTATACGATGTATATAGTTTTACTAGTGTCTATTTTTTCAATTAGTATTTTCATTCATATTACACTATGGCAATTGGAATTTTCTGTTTATATGAGCAATATTTTTTTATAGTTTTTTCTATTAATATAACTTATTTTAGTATCAATCGTTATAAACTTCTATTCTTATCCAAAAAATAAAAAATAAAAAACATAAAAATCAATGAGAACAGAATAGATCACTGATTTTTTTTTTTTGTTTTTTATTTGGACATTGATACTCTTCATGTATTTTGAGTGATCAGTATTAATTTTTTGTTTGATGTTTTCCAGTTGTTGTTTTTCTTTTTCTTTTTTTTTTTTTTTTGTTATAATATATCTTACGTCTTTGATTTTGAAGTTTGCTTTTTTATTATATTTTTTTTGAGATCGGTTTTGTTTTATATGTCTATACGGTATGCCTACTAGGAAAAAAAACCGAGAAAACAATTTCTATATGTATAGACGTGTAGAATTCTTGTAAACCGAATTATGTTTCAAAAGAGAAAAAACAGTCAGATATTGTAAATGAATTCTGTGCATAGCAAAAAATAACATGAAATTTTTGAAATATCAGAGTCTAGAATTGTAATTCTAATTCTTCTTCTCTAGTTGTTAACTGATAAGGCATGATTTCACCTATATTATATTATATAAGCTAATATTCAGCTATACAAAAACAAAAAGTTCTACTAGAGTAAATATGGAAACTAATTGTTCTAAAGTATGTAGCTCTTTTTCTTTGAAAGAAAAAGCAAAAACAGAGTGAAAATTTCTATTTGAATTAGTGAAATGACATGGTAAAGAAAAAAAAATAGAACAAACCGGAAACGTTCGATCATTGAGATTTTTCCTTATGTCATATTCAGTTTATAAAACAAAAAAACAACTTAAATACATAAAACAGAATATAGTTTCTATAAATGAAGTAAAAAGACAATTTCATGTAAAATATCGATCGATATAAATTGCAAAATGAAGAAAAAAACGGAGATTACTACGGGGAATATAATAGGAAAGTTTAAACTATCTAGTAAATTATCGGCTGTCTTCTGTCATGTTTTGCAATTAGTATATCGTGCTGTGATTGGTTAAAGAACATTTATAAAACCGGAAAACTTGTCATTAAAAAAGCTCAATTATCTTTCTCTAATGTTCTTTCTCTGTCTCAACATATATTTACAAAATTAGTTCTCGTTTCGGCGACTCACTCTTACAGGGCCCTGCCACCTTTGATATTCTTTGAAGTCATATTCTCATTTCGTGGCGAAAAGTCGGCAAAACGAGAAGACACCATTTACAATTAGCACATCATTTAACCCCTTAACTGTTATATTTTTTAATAAGAAAATTTAAAATAGCAAACTTCAAACAAATAAACATTTAGTAATTTAAATGGTAATAATCTATGCTGCCTCCGCGTTCCGACATACATATAGATTGCGTGTGATATATACAAAAGATAGTTCTACTGATGAGGATTGCTGTAAATAAATGATTAAAATAAAAGAATTTAGTCTTTTGTGAAGTATCAAGTGGACTATAAAAAATGAGCCTCTCAGTATTTTCTGTTTTTCTTGTGTTTCTTTAAGACCCTAGAGTTAATATTTTTTTAAAAGATGTGCGGCGAAATATTCTACAAAATCATACCTAAACTTTAATTTCAGAACTTCAATCAAGAAAATTAAGCAAATTATATGAAACGCAAAGAAATGAAAACTTTCTAAACTCAAAAATAATTCCTTGTGTTAACATTGTTGAAAGTAAGAAAAACTGAATTAGCCATTTTGTAGCCCTGACTTCACTCTATCTTTCAGTTATACGTCAATTTTTTTCACATCAAAACTCACAGTGAAATAATAATTTTTCTGTCGGTTCTCTTGCATTTTTTCATTAATTTTTAAATTCTGCATATGGTGGTGCTTTCAGTAAAAGTGCCCATAACTCCAACAAAATAAAATTAGATTTTTTGATCGAATTTGGATTTTTTATCAGAAATGATTAATTGATCTTCTCTAAGTAACTGCAAAATCTAAACTTCGATCATGTTTTCCGTTTCTTACTTGAGCACAGTGTTGGAAATGAAGAGGTCGCAAATTTTTAACATATTTTTGAAATTTCGTTCTCGAGCACACCGTCTGCCCTAAACATTTTTTTATAGTCCATGAGAAAGAGCACATTTGAAAGTAACAAACACAAATTCCATTCTCACTTTTGCTACACTTTTTTACGGAAATAATAGTAGAAGAGAAAGTTCAAGTCGAAAAAAATACCAAGTTTACAAAGTTTTCATTTTTTTTCGCTTCTCACATAATTTGCGTAGTTTTTTTGACTGAAGTTTTGAGATTAAAGTTTAGGTATGATTTTGTAGAGTATTTCGACGCGCATCTTTTAAAAAAATATTAACCTTAAGGTCTTAAAAAAACATGAGGTAAATAACAAATACTGAGAGCCTCATTTTTTATGGCTCACATGGTACTGAACTATCGTAGAACCTCGGATATATCCCATAGATATAGATTTATAAGCACAGATTTATAAACAATAAACTTTAATCTCTATTTTTCCATGGAGATTGCTTTGACGTAATATTACGTCAATAACAGTTAAGGAGTTAATAGATTGACACTTGTTTTTCTGGTATAGAAACTGCTTTTTAATTTGGTAAACTATTTACAATTTGTATAATCAAACTTTCTTATGTCCAGTCAGTTCTATATCATAAAACGTATCTCAGGTGCTCATTTTTCTTTGTTTAGGTGATATTCTCGTATTTTTAAATGGAAAAAATATTATCTCATCATCCTTAGAACAAATTAAAAATGATATTACAATTTTATCTCGTCAAAAAGAAAAGATTATTATTGGTACATGTCGATTATCTTCAAATTCTAACAACAACAACAACAACACTATAATAGCATCTTATCTTGCATCATTGTCATTTGTCGAATTTTCCAATATTGCCATAAATTTTCTTAGAGATAAGTTTATAACTAAAACAAAATCGTCTGAACATTTAGCAGAATCACGAAATATTTTATCATTATTAAATCCATTTACAAAAAAAAAACGCTTGCTAACAACGAATGGAGAACAAAAAGATGATGGAGATTCTGCAATTGTTCTCGCTTCAAATGATCTCAATCGAAATCAGAAATCAAAAAGAAATCCAAGTCCAAATAGAGATAGTGGATTTATTGAGACGGACGGTAATAATTTCTAAATATAATAAAGTATTAGTGTCTATGTTTCTTGTTTTTAAAAGGAACAAATGGGTCACTCTTAACACAACACAGTGGCAGTTCAAGATTAAGAAGCAAAACATCTTTGGAGAAAAGTGATAGTCGAGATGATTCATTTGAATCATTTCCACCATCATTAAAAAATGGAATTTTAAATTTAAATAATCATACCGATGATTTGTTAACAACAACTATTCCAGATACAATCAAAATCATGCCGGAAAATTCTGGACTAAAGTAAGCAAAAGTGAAAAAAACTATAATTAAATTAGATCAAATAAGAACTAGAACGTAAAGTATATACTACGAACCATTTCAAAATACGATGAACAATTTTTGACAGATAAACAACAGATAGTTGTGACTTACAGCATTTAGTAGGGAATATCGGTCTATGGAAAAATGAAGTCCTGATCGTATATCTCTCTACGTAAAAAAGATGAGATTGTCATTCGATGAACAAAAATGGATTTTCAGTTTTAACCCTTTGGGGCCGGTGTTACACACCTTGTACTACCTATTTCTCAGCAGAGAATAACTTTTGACAGCAAGCAGCTAGAGAGCTTCGGTTTTCGGCATGCGAAAGAAAAGACTTAGGGACATGTTTTGGCAAGTAAAATATTTTTTTTCAGAAGAGTTTTTCGAAACAGGTTTTCTAGGAGACCTTTGAAAAACCAGATTGTGTGTAAAATTTTTCCAATTTTTTGTATCGGTTTATTGTGTCGATTTTTCTTCATGGACTGGTGGCTCGGGAGCTCTTTTTCAAAATGGAAGCCAAGCAAGACCTTGATTTTCCGTGCTTTGGGCGTTGTATCAGATTTCCTACGAGCCACAGGTCTGGTACCCGGGGACTACTACACAGCCACAGGACTGGTAACCGGCAGCCTTGAAAACTGATGGATCGTAGGTAATCGATCATGCTGAGTCTCGTGAGAAATATGTATTTTCGGAAAAGCTTTAAAAATCTAGCGAAAAGCGATTTTTACGAAAATTTCGGTTTTCAGGCTGTTTTCACCTAATATTAAAAAATTCATTATTCACTGAAAAAACATCACAACAAGTTCAAAACTTCAGAATGTAGATTACTGAGGCTCTTCTGTATTCTGTTTATAGGAGATCAAGAAAGTGATTTTACAAAACTCTAAGATTTTCCGCGAGGATTTGTAGAAAATCCGGTAACAACAATATGCTTTTTCCAGTTTTTTGATTTATAATCCGAGGCTTCTTAATTGAGATCACTTTTTATAATTAAAGAAATAAAACTGATCTCAGTTTGGAAATGGCATATTCTATCCATTTTGAAAAGTGATATCAGTTTGGAAAACGATTTTTCTATTAAGAAAAAAATGATCTCAGTACGAAAAGTTTCTAAGTCCAAAAAACATTTTAGTTCTACTTGTGTAGCTTATGGCGCCGAATCTAGACTTGTGTTTGAAAATAAAACGCGCATTGATATCCTCCCGTTTTCAGAAGTTTCCTACGTAGTGTAGTTCGCTAGATCACGTCGTGCACATTTAATAAAAAAAGGATAAAACAAAAAAAACAAAAAATCCCAGCAAAAACACATAACGTCTGTCGACATAATTAACTTTGTCATCCTCATTGTTTTGCTTCATATTCATCGTCGTCTTTTGAATTCTCAAACACTCTGATGTAACGATGACTTAATGCTCTTAACAATTTCTGTAAATCTTCTAGATCTATATGACCACACATATAATTTTGTTTGGCAGCAATCAATATAGCATCATTATGTATTGATCTTGCCTTTCTGAGACATGTACTTCTTTGTTGACGTTGTTCTTGTTCATATCGTACCATTACGGACTCTTCTGACCCTTTAATATAATTTATCCACGCCCATAGATTAGAATGTGTTTCAATTTAACTGAGCGTGATACATTCGTACGTGGTCTCATACCAATCAAATCAAAATGATTTCGAAAATCTGCTTCGGAATCTACAAGCTATAAAGCCTTCACTTCACTTTATCTAGTATATATAATTTATATTATATACAATTTATGAATCCATATTTTAATAAAATAGAAACTAAAAGCTCATTTTCCAAACTGAGATCATTTTTCAAAATGGATAGAATATGCCATTTCCAAACTGAGATCAGTTTTATTTCTTTAATTATAAAAAGTGATCTCAGTTAAGAATGAGCCCTTATAATCACGTTTAGTGGACAAAATTAACGATATCCTGAAGTTCTAAACTTGTTCTAATGTTTTTTGAGTGAATAGTGAATTTTTCAATATTAGGTGAAAACAGCTTCAAAACCAAATTTTCGTAAAAATCGCTTTTCGCTAGATTTTTAAAGCTTTTTCGAAACAAATATTACCACGAGACTCAGCATGATCGATTATCTATAATCCGGTAATCGATCTTAAACATTAATCGCCGGACATTACTTAAGATCATCAGCAGTTTTCAAGGCTGCCAATAGTCGCCGAGTACCTGTCCTGTGGTTCGTAGGAAATTCGATGCAATGTCCGAACTTTACACACAACCTGGTTTTTCAAATATCTCCTGGAAAACCTGTTTCGAAAAACTCTTCTGAAAATTATTTTACTTGCCAAAACATGTCCCTAAGTCTTTTCTTTCGCATGCCGAAAACCGAAGCTCTCTAGCTGCTTGCTGTCAAAAGTTATTCTCTGCTGAGAAATAGGTAGTACAACGTATGTAACACCGGCCCCAAAGGATTAACAGTTGAATTCGAACCGTCAGACATCCCCTAAAAATCTACGCAACTCCAATATCTTCATCTATCATCGTTCAAGTGCTTTTCTGGCCACATTAACTCTCGCGTTAATATTTACTTTCATTGAGAAAAAGAGATAAATCAACTGAACACAAGTTTTTAGAAAAATACAGTTACATCTGGACGAGAAAATTTCAGAATATTACCAAATGGTTAGATAAAATAATTAGAATACTGAAAAAGTCATAGATCGTTATTTCTTATGATAATTTTCTGGAAAATTCTAAAAATCTTAAGAATAAGAAAGTAAGTCTGAAATTTCTAACTAAAATAGTAGCAAAAAATCCTGCAAAATTTTTTGCGTTTACTCCACGAACTTTTGTATATGTTGGAAGATTTCCCATGGAATCGCTCGGACTAATGGGATTCTTTGAACAATCCGAAGTGTTACTTTGATTACTATTTATTTAGATATTCTGACTTGTTATTCGAAAAATTTCAAAAATCACGTCGAGAACCTCAGACAACACCGATGACGGATGGTTGTAATATTTATACACATCATTCAAATCCCGTTCGTCAATATGATGAAACTGTTATTCTACGTGGACGTGAAATTGCCTATGAAGCAGCAAATGCTTCCTCACAAATTTCACATAATATCAACTCAATATCAAATGAGACTGAATTCAAATATCGTTTACCAATTGTACAAAGTTATTCAAAAGATCAAATACGCGAATTATACGGTGAGTTAGATGAAAAAACTCATCCTTTAAAAGAAAATATTTGGACACCATATACTATACAACATCATCAACCGCCGATCGATGCTTGGGATGAAAATCTCTCTTTATCGATTTCCAAACCTGATACTTATTTTGTAAAACGAACAGATTTTACGTCAAAAAGTAATTGGGACTTTGAGACCTCGTTCGAACAAACTTTATCGAATGGACAAAGTAAAACTGTTAAAAATAAATTTGAATGCCCATTACCAAAATTTCGTCTTGATACAGATGGTGGGAAAATCAACAAAAAACAAGTTCATTCACATCCTTTTTTATCAACTGGTTTATCAAATCCACGACTAGACACTCAACAACCACGTTCATCGATCGACAAACAAATAGAGAATAGAAATAACATAAATATTTCTTCACCATCTGAAGACTTATCTCTAAAACCGATTGTCGAAGAAGAGCTCAATATTCCTCTTAATTTGATAAAAGGTAGTTTTCGAACATCTCTTGGATCGCCGCTATATGACAATGCACGAATTTATGTAACTGAAGCGAATCCAATCACGTTTTCAGGAACGCCAACTGAAGAACAAAAAGGTTTTGTTCAGAGTATACAAGACACGAAAAGTGCGATAAAAATCGAAATGAATTTGTCTGAAAAAACAAATACTATACACGATAAAAAACAAAAACTAGAAAAGTCAGCTTTCATCGATTTATCGCCAAATTCATCTGAACAAGACTCTACGATCAAAAGTAACTGGACCACACCAGGATTAAATGGAATGTATTTAGAACCATATATGGATCGATTATATAACATAGATGAACATTGGCATCAGTCAAAACTAACAATGAACTCAACGGATTTTAAATATGTAGATGTACAAAAAGAAAATCAATCTTCAACTAATGAGTCCGAACATCTTTCTCCAACAATCATCGGATTTGATGTAAGTTTTATTGAAACTAATTTACAGTGGATTGCTTACTCTGCTGATGAAAAATAGCAATGCTGATGTGTTAAATCATAGCTTTTTAAAAATTTTATGAATATTTTTAGGATCTTTCATATGGGAGTACAACACCGCCGATTCAAGATAAAAAGACGCCTACATTAAGTCAAACAGAATTTCACAGTATATTAGATTTAGAAGCAACATCATTAAATGGAGAATATTCGTATCATACAGCTGCGAGTAACAGTACTAGAAAAAAATCAGTAAGGGCATATAGTAATATTCGCGAAAAACAAGAAAATCAACGTTTACATTCTACCGCGTCAACTGATAATGATACAAGTGATAGTACGTTAAAACAAACTAAATTCGATATATACGAGTCGTTTACGTCAGCCGAGGATAGTTTCTACGATGCATTAGCATCCCCGACTACCGTTGAATCAGAGTCTACATTATCAATGACGAATAATTTAAGTTCTCTAATTCAACAGATAAACGAAATAAATCGAACTGAACACGTTAATACCCAAAATATTTGTGACATTATAAAATCGATTCAAGACGATAAACAAAATGTCAAAGAATTATCCGAAATAAGTAACACTGACCAGTATACAACAAACACATCGTTCACAGAAGAAGGTATATCTATCCAGTCTCAAAACGATAATTTATCTAGAATAATTTTACAAATAAATGATCTTGCATTTTTATCACAAAGAAGACTATCACCTGAGGGATCAGAGAGAAAATTATTCGACAAAAATAGTAGTTCCAAATCGGAGGACGAAATGCAGCGGTATCATCAAGATCCAACCACTGTTAATGCTTTGACGACTATTGTTCAAAATATAAATCATTTAACAGAGACGGATAAAATGCAGAGTTTAGAAAAAATAATCAATCCATTTTCAAGTCATAATTATCATCAACTGTATAAAGTGTACAATTCAACAAATGTTATTTCAACCATTGACGACGATATGTCTATACCAAACGAGTTTGAATCAAAACCATCTGAATATATAAATAATCTACATTTTGTTGACGATGATCTCGCGATGCCAACTGTAGAGATGACCGATATTATTTGGGAAAGTCATGAGAAAGAAGCAAACACCGAATCAGAAAATTTGACTGCTCTAGTCAGTTCTATTACGACACTTTCTCAAAAACCAATATTATCAACGAACGTCAACAATTTACTTCTAATGTACGATGACGATGTTATTACTCGTAAAAACAGCAAAAAACTGATTGATATTTCAACAGAAAATAATGTTCATAATCTAGCAAACCTAGTCGAGCATATTTATCAGCATTCTATACAAAATCACTCTATAACATCAAATAATGAGCAATCCTACGATTTAGTCGATCAAGTTTCTCATGCTAACTTGTCAAACATAGTCAGTGAAATTATGGAACATCATAAAACTGCATCAACTCTAACAAGCAAAACAACATGGACAAAGTCATCATCGTTAGCTAATGAAAAACAGCCAACAAAGATATTTGAACAAGAATTGATAGTAGAAAATCTAAAATCAATCATTAATGAAATTAATGATAAACAAGAACAATCATTGCCATTGAAAGCAGAAGACGAGCAATTTCAAGTCAATCATCTGTCACAAATTGTTGGCGATACATTTCTAATTGGTTCAAAATACACTTATCCAAAAGTATTCGGTACAGTAAAAGAAGACGAAAATGTTCAACAGCCTAAACAATCTGTATTTCAAGAAACTAACTCTACATCATCGTCAAATAATATTGGTGATTATTCTAATAATCTAACACCGATGACTTTAACTATTAATATTACACAAAAACCTTTTGCTCAGCAGTCGATCAATGAAAATATTGTTGAACAACCCGAAAAATTGTACGAAGAATATGGTTATCGACGTATAACAAGAGATCCGGATACAAACAGTGTCGTAGAAAAACTCGAAGAATGTATACGTCGTTATAAAAATAATATTGATGACTATCAGACTGCAAGCGAAAATGTTGATAGTCAAATAAATAAACTTTCAAATCCATTGAAGTCAGATTTTTACGCTAGTAATCATGATTTTGATGAAACATTGCCATTTGATCCGGTATCATCGTCAACCTACAGTGAGAGTGAAATGAGAGATATATCTGGTCGATCATCTGTTGTACTGCAAGCACCAACAAGTACAAGTCTGATAACGTTGAACTTGAGAAAAACGTTAGATTCGCCCACTCAATCTAGAATTACTGATATGCAAAATATGCCACAATTGAATACATTGTCAACAACAACATCAGACATTGGTGCATGTGAGTACAAAAAAGTAGAATTTAATAACAGTGTAGATGTCCACCTTACAATCTTGTTTCAATCTTAACAAACCATGTGCTAATACTTAATACTTTAGTTCTCACAGATATGGACTTCTTCGTCCACTCTGTTATAGATGTCAGTTCTTCTCCTAACTTTAAACTGTTCTACTATTAACATAAAAAAGGCTCAGATATATTATGAATAGAAAAGTATTTCCATTCTCTTCATAGACATCGAACAAATATCTGCGCATTCATTTTTCACTCAAACACACGGTAAGATATTCTCATTATGTCTATCTAGTACATGTTTTGCTGTAATATAGATATTTGATTATAACATTTAAACTGCATGATATTCTTGTGATTAAATAACATGTTGTGGTTTTGTGTGTACGCTTCTTCTTAACAAATTTTCAAGCACGATGCATGATCTAATAATACCTTATTATACTCATTCGTACTGTGGTTTCTGATCATCCGCCTCCTGGCATTTATACCTTCTAAGATTAATATGTAAGAAACAAAAAAGTGGGCGTTCGCCAAATATTGTTGAAAAAAAATCAAAGTGATTAATTGAATCTAATGTAGAATCAAATAGTGATAATAATCATAAAAAATCCCACATAAAACTAAAAATAAAAATGTGAAAAAAATTTGTCTGATAACCTCGAATCAGTTGTTAAAACCGCAATCAACTATAAATAAAGTCATTAGAAAGAAAAGAACTTTTCTTTTCATTTATAATCGAAAAATTTTTTTATAATCGGCTAGAAAAACTTTTCAATTTTGTGTAATGAGTGATTTGCGAGACATCATACAATAACGTACATACAAACATATTATTTCTCTCCTTCTATTACATATTTGGAAGGTAGAGAAGATAGTTATTATTACTATCGAACATCGAATATTGTTCAATACAAATTCGAGTGGTTTATCGTACTGAGATATTGAATAAAAATGCCTACAATTTATGATGTACAACGTGAAGAGTACTATACGGCTGATAATTCAATGGTACCAAAAACGGGTCAAATCTCGGACTTTTCTGTCGGATACATGTCGGCAATACAACCGAGACAAGTTATTATCACACGACCGGTTAAAAATTTAGGTGGTGGAAATCGAAGTGTTACATCAAGAATGAGTGTATCACAATCGGTATCAAGTAGTGCTGTACCATTACGTGGTGGTTCAAGTTCAATGGGTGGTGATTATCTGTCATTGGTCCCGTTTACAAGTCAACGTGTTGAAGAAAAACGTCAATTAGCAGAACTGAATGATCGTTTTGCCGAATACATTGGTAAAATTCGTTATTTAGAAGCTGTTAATCGTAAACTGAGTCGGGATTTAGATAATATTCGTAATAAAAAGGGGATTGGTATGCAACGTATACGAGAAATTATTATACGTGAGAAAAAAGAAGCTGATGATACGTTAAAGAAAATGGACGATGATATTCGATCATCTCAAAATAAACGTCAAGAGTCAGAGCAACGTTTGAAACAAGCTGAACAACGTTTGCAATCTGTTCAACGTCCAGATCAAATACAACAAACAAAACAACAATTGAAACAATTACGAGAAAAAATAATGGATTTAGAAAAACATATTGAATTAATACGTAAAGTTATTAGTGATAATGATGATGAAATTGCTTTATATAACAGTGAATTACAACGGATACGCATGGATGTTGCCAATTTGATATCAGAAATAGCCAACGAAGCAACACAAAAACAAATATTATTTGCTGAGAAAACCGTTTTAGAACAAGAATTGAAGGTACTAGATACCGCTCATAAATTTGATGTTGATCAATTGCGTTCAAAAGTGGCCATTGCCAATGTAGATCCAGCGCCATTTTTTGAATCTGAATTATCACAAGCTATACGTGAAATACGAAAACAATTTGAAGCATTAACAGAACAACAACAGCAACAATTACAAAACTATTATCAAGCAAAAGTTAGTGCATTGATTGAATATCATCAACCGAAACCACAAATTGAATCACAATGGCAAACAGAAAAAATACGTGAAATAACGCGCAGTGTTACAGATGTACGTGGTCGTTTAAGTAATTTACAAATGGAAAATAATGAATTAGATCGACAAATAAATGACATTAGACAACAATTACAAACACACCAATATCAAGAAGATCAACGTCTTCTAGATGAGCAAAAACGTTATCGAGAGGAAATTGATCGTTTGAAAGGATTTATTGTCGATTTAGAAAAATATCGAACAACATTAGAGGAAGAAATTCGACGTTATCGTTTATTATTAGAAGGTGGTGGAAATCAAGTAGGTCTAAGACATTTTGCGGAAGAAGCAGAAAAAATAATGAATCGTGGAAGATCATTATTAGATAATCTTAATTTGAGATTAATGAAATCGGGTGGTAGTGGTGGAAATAATTATAATATTCGCGAAGTCACATATGCAACATCGTATTCATCAGGTGCAGGTGGTAAATCTCCTGGACATTCACGATCAGCATCACCATTACGATAAACATTGTCACTAAATATTAAACAATGTAGATTCAGTAGATTTTGCTTTATTATGATTGATCTATCATGCTTTGAAAATGCTTTTATCATTTATTTCACTTGGTTCATGAACTCGATAGTTATATTATATACTCAGCGTTTACTTAAAAATAGAATCATACTTAGGATCTTAAGATGATCCATACTATTAGAGAAAAATATTTCTTAAGACATATATTCATTTCAAATTGATTTTTTCTCTGACGTATTTTCATTTACATAATGATACATGTTCTTTTCAGAACTTTTGCTTAAGTTATTATAACAAGTAAACTACAATGATTCTTATGTTTGAAACGGATGAATGATTTATCAAATAATATCAAGACATCATTTAAATCATCATTGATCAGCATCAAAAACTGATTTCATATTTGAACTATTGTCTATATGTTGTATTTATTTCTAAACAGATCAGTTATGTAGAATAGATCATTTTTCGTTTACATGAATATTAAGAAAAAATATACAAACAATATCGACTATTAAAAACATTGTACACGAAAAAATATAATCTCGTTAAATATAAAGATTTGTTTGAATAATATATTTGTACATCATTATTTCTCTCTACTTGCTAACTTTTATTATATATTCATTAACCGTGCGAAGAGTTAACCTAAAAGCTAAACGTTTATTTTTTTACAGCAGGTTAATACAGCAAGAAGAAAAACATGAACAGAAAATAACGAGAGAATGTCATGGGTTGTGATCGAATCATTAGTGTAAATAATGCATATTCTCCCGCGATATCACCTAAAACCGTCAATAAATAACAAAAATATTTGACAGCTTCCGAATTTCGACAAAGAAAATGTGCATTAATTTAGCTGCTACAGGAATTTAAAAGAGTGATCACCGGTATAACGTCAGTCTCATGTGCAGGAAGTTTATCCGTCTTTCTACCACAATATCCTAAAATATTCTAGCTTCAGAATAAATTATTGCCTCGTGACGTATGCGCTAAGCACAGAGATATTCAATCAATTTTGCCTTTTGCTGTTTGATGATGAAAAAGGTGTAAACGTTTTAGTAACAATTTTCTTATATGAAAAAAAAACACGACAAAAGGATTATAGAAAAATATCTTTAACAGATGAGTGCGCAGTATGAAAATGAATATCTAGTTGAGCTGAACTGAGAGAAACGACGACAATCCCACTAGGAAAGATGTTATTTTAGCCTATTCTCGACTGGTACAATTTATCTAATGACATTTATAAATAGTGCATGTATGATAATCATTCTGTTGTTTGCTTTAGGTTATTTCACACTCTCTCTCTCTCTCTCTTTGTCTCTCTAATTTAATCTGCTACTCAAAGACATAGAAAGAATCTCTTCATATTTAAAAGAATGTACAGGAGATGATATATGTTCTGAATATTTTGACCTAACTCGGCAACAACAACAAAAAAAAAAACGCCTTAGTATGTGAACAGAAAAAAATCCTCTCTGTTTAAACATACACTATAGCTCAGAACGAAGTATCGGACGAAAAGAACGACTAAATAGAAAAAAGATAGAACATTTTCTTCTTCGGAGAACATATTATTTCCCTCTTTCCCTGCTATCGATGTATGTATTCTAGTTTTTGCATGTTGTATGTATATGCGTGCACACTATAACGCACAGTATTGAGTGGTTGATTCACTTTTTGCATGTATCACCAACCACACAAGAAAAAGCACGAAAATAAAAAGAAATATATATAGAAAGCGAAGAAAGAACAACAGTCGTTATTATAAAATTGTGCATGGTCTCTCATTTATATAGTTGCTTCTTGTGTGTGAACAACATATTTTAACAAAGTTTCTTATCCAATATATCATATCAATTTAGAAAATATATTAGTTGATAATAAGAATTCAAAAATGCAACCACAATACGATGACGATTATCAAAAAATTAACTCTTCCTACAGTTCCTATAAATCACAGATAACACCACGTTCGACTAATGTTCAACGTCGTTCGGCAGGACCAGGAGGGATTATGACACGAATGTACCAGTCTTATTCTTCAAGTGGTGGATTTGGTGGTGGTAGCATCGGTGCCGGAATAGGCGGTTTAGCAAGTATTGCTGGATTAGGAATTGCTGGCATTCCATTACGTCCAAATCGTGGTGCATCAGCTTTGGTTGCCGTAAATGAAACACGTGAACGTGAAAAACGGGAATTATCTCAGTTGAATGATAAATTTGCTCAATACGTTGAAAAAGTACGATTTTTAGAAGCACAAAATCGTAAATTACAATTAGAATTAGAAGCTTTACAAAATAAATCTGGTCAAGGTTCATCAAAAATAAAAGAAA